GGTTGGGGGGGTTCCCTGTCCTCAATTTTGGGATCCCTCCGCTAATTCCACTTGAATTTTGGGATTTGCACCCCAATTTTGGGATCCCCTCCCCAATTCTGTGCCCCCTCCCCAATTTCAGGATTCACCCCCAGTTTCAGGCAGATTTGGGGTTCCCTGTCCCTAACCCGCCGCCCCCTCCCCAGTTTGGGATTCACTCCCTGGGCGAATTTGGGGTTCCAGATTTGGGGTTCCCTGTGCCTGACACGCAGCCCCCTCCCCAATTTGGGATTCACTCCCTGGATGAATTTGGGGGTTCCCTATCCCTGACCCGCAGCCCCCTCCCCAATTTGGGATTCACCCCCTGGATGAATTTGGGGGTTCCCTGTCCCTGACCTGCAGCCCCCTCCCCAATTTGGGATTCACCCCCTGGGTGAATTTGGGGCTCCCTGTCCCTGACGCGCAGCCCCCTCCCCAATTTGGGCTTCACCCCCTGGGTGAATTTGGGGCTCCCTGTCCCTGACGCGCAGCCCCCTCCCCAATTTGGGCTTCACCCCCTGGGTGAATTTGGGGCTCCCTGTCCCTGACGCGCAGCCCCCTCCCCAATTTGGGCTTCACCCCCTGGGTGAATTTGGGGCTCCCTGTCCCTGACGCGCAGCCCCCTCCCCAATTTGGGCTTCACCCCCTGGGTGAATTTGGGGCTCCCTGTCCCTGACGCGCAGCCCCCTCCCCAATCCGTGTCCGCAGAGCTGGAGGTGGGCAAGGCGCAGGAGTTCACGGTGAAGGCCAAGGGCGCGGGGGGCCAGGGCAAGGTGGGGGCCCGGATTTTGGGGCCGTCCCGCAAGGCGGTGCCGTGCACGGTGGAGCCGGGCGCCGCCCCCGAGAGCAGCGCCGTGCGCTTCGTGCCGCGCGACGAGGGCCCCCACAGCGTGGAGGTCACCTACGACGGCGTGCCCGTGCCCGGCAGCCCCTTCCCCGTCGAGGTGGTGCCGGCCACCGACCCCTCCAAGGTGAGGGGAAGGGGCTTGGGGGGGTTCGGGGAGATTTGTGTAGGAGGATTTGGGGTGGAGGTCTTGGGAGCCGGCTCAACGCAATCCAACTCAACTCAATCCAATCCAACTCAACCCAACTCAACTCAGCTAATCCAATTCAACTCAACCCAACTAATCCAACTCAACCCAATTCAACTCAACCAATCCAACCCAACTCAGCCCAACTAATCCAACTCAACCCAGCTCAATCCAACCCAACTCAGTCTGTTTGAACTCAACCCAACTAATCCAATCCAACCCAATCCAACTCAACCCAACTCAACTCAGCTAATCCAATTCAACTCAACCCAACTAATCCAACTCAACCCAATTCAACTCAACCAATCCAACCCAATTCAACCCAACCAACCCAACCCATCCCAACTCAGCCCAACTAATCCAACTCAACCCAGCTCAATCCAACCCAACTCAGTCTGTTTGAACTCAACCCAACTAATCCAATCCAACCCAATCCAACTCAACCCAACTCAACCCAGCCAATCCAATTCAACACAACCCAACTAATCCAACTCAACCCAACTAATCCAATCCAACCCAGTTCAACTCAACCCAACCCAGTTCAACTCAACCCAACCAACCCAGCCCATCCCACACAACCCAACTAATCCAACTCAACCAATCCAACCCAACTCAACCCAACCAACCCAACCCTTCTGAACTCAACCCAACTAATCCAAATCAGCCCATCCCAGCTAATCCAACCCAACTCAACCCTTCCATCTCCCCAGGTCCGTGCCTTTGGCCCCGGTCTCCAGGGCGGCCTGGCAGGTGTTCCGGCCCCATTCACCATCGACACCAAAGGTGCCGGCACGGGCGGTTTGGGGCTGACCGTGGAGGGGCCCTGCGAGGCCAAAATCGAGTGCCAGGACAACGGCGACGGCACCTGCTCGGTGTCCTACCTGCCCACGGAGCCCGGTGACTACAACATCAACATCCTCTTCGCCGGCGCCCACATCCCGGGCTCGCCCTTCCGCGCGCCGATCCAGCCAAAGTTCGACCCTTCCAAGGTCACCTGCGAAGGGCCGGGGTTGGAGAAGGCCACGGCCGGCCAGCCGGGGCGCTTCCGCGTGGACTGCAGCCGGGCGGGGACGGCCGAGCTGACCATCGGCATCGCCTCGGAAGCCGGGGCGCGGGCGGACGTGAGGGTGGAGGAGAACGGCGACGGCATTTACACCATCGCCTACACGCCGCGCAGCGCCGGCGTGCACACCGTCACCGTGGAGTACGGCGGGCAGCCCGTGCCGCACTTCCCCAGCACCGTGCGCGTGGAGCCAGCGCCCGCGGCCGTGGATACGTCCGGCATCAAGGTGTACGGGCCCGGCGTGGAGGGGAAAGGTGAGTTTGGGGTGGGGTGGAAGGGTTGGGTTGGGTTGGGTTGAATTGGATTTGGATGAGTTGAGTTGGGATGAGTTGGGTTGGGTCGGGTTGAGTTGGAAGAGGATGGGATGGGTTGAGTTGAGTGGGGTTGGCTGGGATAAAGTGGGTTGGGTTGGGTTGAGTTGGATTTGGATGAGTTGAGTTGGGATGAGTTGGGTTGGGTCGGGTTGAGTTGGAAGAGGATGGGATGGGTTGAGTTGGGTTGGCTGGGATAAATTGAGTTGGGTTGAGTTGAGTTGGGTTTGGTTGAGTTTCGCTGGGTTGGGATGAGTTGGGTGGAGTTGGGTTGGTGGGCATGAATTGAGTTGGGTTGAGTTGAGTTGGGTTCGGTTGAGTTTGGTTGGGTTGGGATCCTTTGGGTGGAGTTGGGTTGGGTTAAGTTGGGTTGGGATGAGTTGGGTTGGGATGAGTTGGGTTGGGATGAGTTGGGTTGCGTTCAGTTGGGTTGGAAGAAGACCCCATTGACCCCAGCTCCGTTTCCCCATCCCAGCCGTGTTCCGCGAGGCCGTGACGGAGTTCGAGGTGGACGCCCGGGCCGTGTCCAAGGCCGGCGGTCCCCATGTCAAGGCCCTGGTGTCCAACCCCTCTGGAAACGTCACCGAGACCTTCGTGGAGGACCGGGGCGATGGCACCTACCACGTGGAGTACACGCCCTACGAGGAGGGTGAGTGCACCCGGCATTCCGGAGGGATTTGGGGGCATTTTGGGGGATTTTGAGGGTATTTTGAGGGATTTTGAGGGTATTTTGAAGGATTTTGTGGGGATTTTGGATGACTTAGAGGAATTTTGGAGGCTTGGGGGGATTTTGTGGGTTTTGGGATATTCTGAGGTATTTTGAAATTTTTTTGGGGATTATGAGGGATTTTGGGGTGTTTCTAGTGGATTTGGAGGGATTTTGGTGGATTTGAGAGGATTTTGGAGCATTTTGGGGGCTTGGGGGGAATTTTAAGGGATTTTGAGAGACTTCGGGGGACATTTATGGGTTTGGGGTGTGTGGAAGGAACTTGCAGGATTTCTGGACAACTTGAGGGATTTTGGGGGGATTTTTGGTGGGCTTTGAGGGGTTCTAAGGGATTTTTGGTGGTCTTTGGGTGGGGTTTGGTGGGATTTGGGGTGACCCGCTGCCCCCCAGGCCTGCACAAGGTGGATGTCACCTACGGGGGGTCCCCGGTGCCGCTGAGCCCGTTCCGTGTCCCCGTCACCGAGGGCTGTGACCCCACCCGGGTGCGGGTGCACGGCCCCGGCATCCAGAGCGGCACCACCAACCAACCCAACAAATTCACCGTGGAGACCCGGTGAGAGCCCCGATCCCGACGGGAATCCCCAAAATCCTGACGAGAATTCCCAAAATCCCACTGGGAATCCCCAAAATCCTGATGGAAATCCCCAGAATCCCAACTGGAATGCCCAAAATCCCGACGGGAATCCCCAAAATCCCAACGGGAATGCCCAGTATCCCAATGGGAAACCCCCAGATCCCACTGGGCATTCCCAAAATCCTGCTGGGAGACCCCTAAATCCTGCTGGGAATTCCTACAATCGGATTCTCCATCTCCTGCTCCACCTAAACCCCCGTTACTCCCCAAACCTGAACGCAATAACCCCAAATCCCATTTTCCCCCAAACCTCCCCCTCCCATGACCCCAAATCCCATTTCTCCCCTCCAACGACCCTAAATCCCATTTTCCCCTCTCCCATGACCCCAAATCCCATTTCCCCTCCTCCCATGACCCCAAATCCCATTTTCCCCTCAAATCTCCCCGTCCCATGACCCCAACCCCCATTTTCCCCCACTCCCATGACCCCAAATCCCATTTCCCCTCCTCCCATGACCCCAAATCTCCCTCTCCCATGACCCCAAATCCCATTTCCCCCACTCCCATGACCCCAAATCCCCTTTTCCAGGGGGGCCGGCACGGGGGGTCTGGGCCTGGCCGTGGAGGGTCCCTCAGAAGCCAAAATGTCCTGCACGGACAACAAGGACGGCAGCTGCTCCGTGGAGTACATCCCCTACGAGCCCGGCACCTACAGCCTCAACGTCACCTACGGCGGCCACCAGGTCCCCGGTGAGCCCCGGGCACGCGGGAATTTTTTGGGGAATTTCTTTGGGAATTTTCAGGAATTTATTTTGAATTTCGGGGAATTTTTTTTTTTTTATTTCAGGGGATGTTTTTTGAATCTGAGGGGATTTTTGGGGGAATTTTTAGGGTTTTGTTTTGAATTTTGAGGGGTTTTTGGAGGTTTTTTTTGAGAGGATTTTTAGGGAGTATTTTTTGGGAATTGTCTGGGCGATTTTTTGAGAGTTTTTCAGGTGATTTTCAAATATTTGAATTTTGAGGGTTTTGGGGAATTTTTTGGGGGGTATCTGGGGCGTTATAGCAGATTTTGTGGGATTTTTAGGAAATTTGGTGGTATTTCCCCTGGTGACCCCTAAATCCCATTTTTTTCCCCTGGTAACCCCAAACCCATCCTACAGTCCCTAAATTGTATTTTTTTACCCCAAACCTCCCCCCACATCCCCTAAATCCCTGTTTTTTTCCCCCTGGTGACCCCTAAATCCCATTTTTTCCTCCTAAACCCCATCCCACACCCCCTAAATCCCATTTTCTCCCCCAGACCCCACCCCACACTCCCTAATTCCCGGATTTTCCCTCCAGGGAGCCCGTTCCAGGTGCCGGTGTCGGACGTGGTGGACGCGTCCCGAGTGTCCTGCGGGGGTCCCGGGCTGACCCCCGGCCACGTCCGGGCCAACGTCCCCCAGACCTTCACCGTGGACACCTCCAAGGCTGGTGTGGCCCCGCTGGACGTCAAAGTCCAGGGCCCCAAAGGTCAGTGGGAGGGAATTTGGTGGGTTTTGGAAGGGGTTTTATTGGATTTGGGGGATTTATTTGGATTTTGCAGGGGGATTTGTGGGATTTTATGGGATTTTGGGTCTGCCCTGTGGGATATTGGGGCACTCTGTGGGATTTTGGGGCACCCTGTGGGATTTTGGGGCTGCCCTATTGGCTTTTGGGGCACCCTTTGGAATTTTGGGTCACCCTATGGTATTTGGGGCAGCCCCACACCCCCTTTTAATAATTTCTGTACTACCCTGCAGTGACTTTCATGTTACTCTACAATCTTTCCAACCCATCCCACAACACCCCAACCTCCCTTAACCCACATAAACCCCCCAAAACCCCATAAAAACCCCCCAAAAAACCCCCATTTTCCCCCCCGACAGGCGTGCTGGAGCCCGTGGACGTGGCCGACAACGGCGACGGCACGCAGCGCGTGTCCTACGTCCCGTCCCGCGAGGGACCCTACAGCATCTCCGTGCGCTACGGCGACCACGAGGTGCCCCGCAGGTGCGCCCGGGGGGACATTTCGGGTGGCTCCCCAGGCGTTTTGGGGTGTCCTGACCCTAAAATTCCTCCCCAAAGCCCCTTCAAGGTGAAGGCGCTGCCCACCCACGACGCCAGCAAGGTGCGGGCGAGCGGCCCCGGGCTCAACACCACGGGCGTGCCGGCCAGCCTGCCCGTGGAGTTCACCATCGACGCCAAGGACGCCGGCGAGGGGCTGCTGGCCGTGCAGATCACGGTGCCCGCGGGGTTTCGGGGGTCTTTAGGGGGTGGGGGGGTGGGATTTGGGGTTTTTTGGGGGGTTTGAGGGAGGTGGGGAGTGTTGGAGGGGGGTGGTTTTGGGATTTGTCTGGCGGGGGTTGGTGGTGGAGGTGGGAATTTTTGTGCTCTGGTGGCTCCAAAGCCACCCCACAGTCTCTAATTTCCACGTTTTCCCCCCAAAAGCCCATTTCACGTTCCCTAATTCCCAGTTTTTTGCACCCAAACCCACACTACATCCCCTAAACCCAAGTTTTTTCCCCTCAGGATGCTGAGGAGAATCCCAAGGGAGCATGACCCCACCCAGGAGCTCTGGAATCGTTTTTCCCCAGCCCTAAAATCCAATCCCACATCCCAAAAACTGCCCAAATTCCCATTTTTCAACCTCCCAACCACCAAAATTCCCATTCTCACCTCACCAATGGCTGAAATTCCCACTTTTTCCCCTCAGGAAAAGCTTTTTCCCCTCAGGATTCTGAGGGAAATCCCAAGGGAGCATAACCCCACCTGAGAGCTCTGGGGTCCTTTTTCCCAGTTCCTTTTTCACACCCCAAAACTGCCCAAATTCCCATTCTCACCTCACCAACTGCCCAAATTCCCATTCTCACCTCACCTATGGCTGAAATTCCCACTTTTTCCCCTCAGGAAAAGCTTTTTCACCTCAGGATTCTGAGGGGAATCCCAAGAGAACGTAACCCCACCTGAGAGCTCTGGGGTCCTTTTTCCCAGCCCTAAAATCCAACCCCACACCCCTAAACTGCCCAAATTCCCATTCTCACCACACCAATGGCTGAAATTCCCACTTTTTCCCCTCAGGAAAAATCTTTTTTCCCCTCAGGATCTCAAAGGGAAGCCCAAAGGAGCTTGACCCCAAACCCACCTGTGAGCTCTGAGAGTGCCCTGGATCCTTTTTCCCGGCCCTAAAATCCAACCCCACACCCCTAAACTGCCCAAATTCCCATTCTCACCACACCAATGGCTGAAATTCCCACTTTTTCCCCTCAGGAAAAATCTTTTTACCCCTCAGGATCTCAAAGGGAAGCCCAAGGGAGCTTGACCCCAAACCCACCTGTGAGCTCTGGGAGTGCCCTGGATCCTTTTTCTCAGCCCTAAAATCCAACCCCACATCCCAAAAACTGCCCAAATTCCCATTTTTCAACCTCCCAACCACCAAAATTCCCATTCTCACCTCACCAATTCCCACTTTTTCCCCTCAGGATTCTGAGGGGAATCCCAGGAGAACATGTCCCCAGCCCGGGACCTCTGAGTTCCTTTTTCCCAGTTCCTTTTTCACACCCCAAAACTGCCCAAATTCCCATTCTCACCTCACCAATGGCCGAAATTCCCACTTTTTCCCCTCAGGATCCCGAGGGGAAGCCCAAGAAAGCCTCGATCCGGGACAATCAGGACGGCACCTACACCGTGTCCTACGTGCCGGACATGACCGGCCGCTACACCATCCTCATCAAATACGGGGGGGACGAGATCCCCTATTCCCCCTACCGCATCCGGGCCGTGCCCACCGGCGACGCCAGCAAGTGCACGGTCACCGGTGAGCCCCGAAACGGGGGAAAAACCCCCAAAATTGGGAGGAAATACCTCAAAAATGGGAAAAAACACCCTAAAAACTACATGGGAACCCCCCCCCCCCCCAAAATGGGGGATACCACCTCAGGAATGGGAGAAACCACCGCGAAAACCCCCTCAGGAATGGGGGTGCACAGTCCTGCTGGGAAAGGAGCACGGCTGCACCGAGGGGGGAAAGGGGGATTTTTGGGGGGGTTTTGGGGGGTTTTGGCGGGTTTTGGGGGTCTCACGGCTGTGTCTCACTGGATTTCTTGCTTCTCTGGGGGGACATTTCGGGTGGCT